ACACGCACAAAGACAAAGATCCCCTGTATAGCCTTAACAGACTGTAGGGGCAAGTGCTGTTAGCGAGCACCTATGAAGGCCGGAACGGTACACGAGGGGTGGGTGGCCAGCACCACACCCGACCACCTTTGTCACACACGCACACAAACACGCACACAGACACGCACACAGACACACACACAGACACACACAGACACGCACACACATACACAGACACACACACAGACACACACAGACACGCACACACATACATACACAGACACGCACACACGCACACACAGACACACACGTGCGGCGCGTGACACCCGCGCGTGTGCACGGCTCTCTCTCTCGGGTGTTCACATCGGTGGCGTGGGGGGCGGGGGATGGAGGGTGGGTAAGTGGGGGCACCCTGCCCCCCACCCCACACCCATCAATTAAAATCAAATCTCCACATCGTTTGGGTTTAATTAGCGCTGTTTACAGGAAACGTCTTAGTGGATGTGGAAGGATTGAGAGGAGGGGAGGGGGGTCTGGGGGTGCCAGGGATGTCTGTGTCTCCATCCGCAGCCACCCCCACCCCATCCGGGTGGTGCAGCTGCAGTCCCCCCCCTTATCCCACCCCTCCCCCGCCCCTCCCCCGCGCCACATGAAAGCGCGGCTGCCGCTTAATTGCTCACTTTGAAGTTTTTGTGTACGCGGAGGGGCGGGGCTGTGGGCCCGAGGGGAGGGGCCTCATGTGTGTCAGGGCGGGGGGGCGGATACCCCCGAACCCCCCCCCCCCCCTACGACTGCCGCGTGTTCAGTGCGGGACCCGGCAACTTTAGAGGGCACCGCGCAGCGCGGTGGGAGCGGTGGCGCTGCGGTTAGCGCACTGCGCTGTCAACTCTGAGCGGAGTTCGACTCCAGGCGACAATGGCCGTTCTCGTCCGGCGTGGGATGAAAAGAGCCGGAGGACCCGGAGAAGAATCCACGCGACCGCAGGGAGAAAGATGCCAACTCCAAATGTGCAACAGCCGTCAAGGGTTCAACGGTTTGGGAGTGGAGACGGCCCCATGGGTGTGCCCGCGTTGAACCAAATGCGGACCAAAAGATTCGCACCTCGCAGACCGGGCCGCGTAGCTGATGGGATGCGTACAGAACAACAACAACAAACAACAACCAGCATTGTTTTGTTTTACGCGAAGAGACAGAAACCCATGGAGCGATTTTGTCCTTCGCTAATGGGCGATGTGGAACCTTCCGATTCGCGGTTCCTGTTGATTGTTGGTCAGATGACAGAAGCCCCCCCCCCCCCCCCCCGGGTGACACTCGTGCCTCACAGCGAGAAGGAATCCTGGGTTCGACTCCCGACTCGGACACCCTTGCCTCTCCGCGCGTGGAGTTTGTACGCTCACTCCCCCTGTTTTGCATCGGGGGCTTTCCGCGTTGTCGGAATTCCTCCCATAGCCGGCGAAATGAAAAAAGCACGCAGTGTAACTGGTATTGGCCAAAGCATCGCAATGCTCAAACGTATCTGCAAATTCATTTGGATTGTTCACGACACCAACACCAGCCCCTTACTGTGGACATTTGGCAGGGCTCTCCTTAAAAAAAAAGTTTTGAGACTCTGTGTGACTTTCCTAGGTGAACACGTGGGACAATAATAATACTTTTAATGAACTGGAGTGTGTTACCCATATTTGTTACTTATCGGTCATAATCTGATCAATACATGGGCCCCGCATCAATAACGACGTCTGTGTAAAGGTGACAATCTCGTCGGGTGGTGGCAAGAATTTTGGCATGAAACTACCACCACGTGGCAGGAACCCACGCAAAAAGTGTAACTCAACACGGAGACGTGGAGAAGAGACACATCAGCAATGTCTCCTTCTCATCTCCCGTCTCTCCGCTTCAAAAACATGTTCAGTTTCTGACCCATCCCATCAGGCAGCCGCACGGAATCCCTTCACCGCGAGTTGGAGGTGGGGGGGTGGGGTGCTTGGGCAGGACACGTACAGTACGTATGTTGAACTTCTTTCGCACCGTACGTAGCCAACCGCGCTAATCGGAGGTGCGTGGGAAAGGACAACAGACTAAACACGAAAAGCAGCTCTAAAGAAATGCCCTTTCAATCTCGATTGAAAAGCGCATCGCTCCGCATCGGAAGGAAAAGCGTTCCAGACGGCCGTAGGAGCGCATCTGAAAGCGCTCGATACGGTGACCTCCCTTAATCCGATGGCTGTAGCCCACGACGACGACGGGCCGAGTTGGCGTCATGGTTCACGCACCACGACGAGACCAGCGAGGTGTTTGCGGTTCACTTGCCTGCGGGCAACGCGTGCGGTGCGCTCACGAGCGCGACCCGGCGACGCATTAGTCGTCGTTTATGGGCACTCGCTCGCTCGGGCGCACCGCACGCGCGCGTGACGTGTGGATCATTCACTCGCATGTGCCGCTAAGTGTCGTTGTTGTTGTTGTCGTTATTGTTGTTGTTGTCGTCGTTGGGTGCATTGAGAGCCGTGGCGAGTTGTCGACGCGCTGCAGCTGCGGCATCTGCCGGGTCCGCTTCTCCTCGCGTGCAGGAGCAGCAGGAGGAGGAACCTCGACCCGGAGCGCACGCGCCCCATTAGCGGCGATCAGAGGGACAATTAAAGAGCCCCCCCCCCCGCGCGCCTCCCCCCTTTTACCCCCACAGTTAATTGGTCGCCAGCCCTCCCCGCTAATAGCGTGCCCCCACCCCCTCCTCCATAGCAACCACCGCACGTGGGGATGGGGAAGAGGAGGGAGAGGGAGGGGCGGGTGGAATGGGGGAAGGGTGGGGGGGTGCAGATTGTGAAGGAGGGAGGGGGGGAATGAGTTCCCTGTGCCCATCTCCAGGTGTCTCCCCCGCCCCCCCCCGTGGGGAGGGCAGTGGGTAGGGGGTTGTTACCTGTCTCACCGGATGTGTGGGGAGGGGTTCTGTGTGTATGTGGGTAGTGAGGGGGGGGGCAGCCCCCCCCCGCTCGCCTGGTATCGTTTATCAGAGTCCACAGGTGCGCGCGGTCGCTGTTTGAAGTGGCCGCTCATTAGGGGTTCGATCGCTTTAAACACTGGCAGGTGACGGCGATGGTGATGGTGATGGTGATGTTGTCAGCAACATCAACACGACGACCGGCATCGGTGTCACGACCATCAACCACCACCAAGAAGCATCATAAGAATCACTAAAAATCATCAGCAGCAGCAGCATCAACATTCACCATCAGCAACAAGAACATCAACAACGCATTCAGCGTCATCAACAGCATCATCAACAAACGCACCATCTCCTTCATCAGCAGCATCACCGCCATCGCCCACCCGCCTACGCCTCCACCCGGGGGAGTTCCCCCCCCCCCATTCCACATTCCCACCGCTCCCCTCCCCTCCCCTGACTCTCGCCCCCTTCAAAAACTCTCTCTCTCCTCCTCCTCTCTCTCCTCCTCCTCCTTCCAGCACCACTCGGACGCGGGGCGAGACTCGACAAAGTCTGTTTCGTATGCAGTGGCGACATCCTTCCTCACCCATAGACACCCTGCATCATCCATAGACACCCTGCATCGTGTATGGGCACCCTGCCTCATCCATAGACACCCCTGCCTCATCCATAGACATCCTTCTTCACCCATGGACACCCTGCTTCATTCATAATCACCCTGTTTCATTCATAATCACCCTGCATCGTGTATGGGCACCCTGCCTCATCCATAGACACCCTGCATCATCCATAGACACCCTGCCTCATCCATAGACACCCTGCCTCATCCATAGACACCCTGCATCATCCATAGACACCCTGCCTCATCCATAGACACCCTGCATCATCCATAGACACCCTGCCTCATCCATAGACCCCCTGCCTCATCCATAGACACCCCTGCCTCATCCATAGACACCCTGCCTCATCCATAGACACCCTGCATCATCCATAGACACGCGGACTAGCTCGACTCTTCTCACTGAGACGTCGACTCTACCATAGAGACCTCAATTCGTGAGTACCCGCGGTGAATCGTGCCCACATTGTGCTGATGTGTGGTGGTGGTGGTGATGGTGGTGGTGATGGTGGTGCTGATGGTGTTTTGGTGGTGATGGTGGTATAAGGTAAAACTAACGGTGTGATTCGTGCCAACATTGTGCTGATGTGTGGTGGTGGTGATGGTGGTGCTGATGGTGTTTTGGTGGTGATGATGGTATAAGGTAATACTAACGGTGCGATTCGTGCCAACATTGTGCTGATGTGTGGTGGTACTGGTGGTGCTGATGGTGTTTTGGTGGTGATGATGGTATAAGGTAATACGGTGCGATTCGTGCCAACATTGTGCTGATGTGTGGTGGTACTGGTGGTGCTGATGGTGTTTTGGTGGTGATGATGGTATAAGGTAATACTAACGGTATGATTCGTGTCCACATTGTGCTGATGTGTGGTGGTGGTGCTGATGGTGTTTTGGTGGTGATGATGGTATAAGGTAATACTAACGGTCATGAATGTGCTGTTGACGCCGATGGAAATGATGATGATTGTGCTGCTGTTGTTAACGGTGATGATTATTGCGCTAATGATGATGATGTTGTTGTTGATACTGATGGTGGTGCTGTTGCTGATGATGATACTGATGACGATGGTTGGTTGTGCTGTTGCTGTTTATGTTGTTGATGGTGATGCTAGTGGTTGTGCTATTGCTGATGATGTTGTCGACACTGATGGCGATGAAGATGGTTGTTGTTAATGCTGCTGCTGATGTCTGTCGTCCACCGCCTGCTGCAGCTCTTGGGAGCAGCAGCGGCAGCAAAAGCAGCATCATCATCATCATCATCATCAGCAGCAGCAGCATCATCATCAGCAGCAGCATCATCATCATCAGCAGCAGCATCATCATCAGCAGCAGCATCATCATCATCATCAGCAGCAGCAGCAGCAGCATCATCATCATCATCATCAGCAGCAGCAGCAGCAGCAGCAGCATCATCATCATCAGCAGCAGCAGCAGCAGCATCATCAGCATCATCAACAGCAGCAGCAGCATCATCATCAGCATCATCATCAGCAGCAGGAGGCCCCGGCAATGTCTCCCCCGCGCGTCTGGCCACTGCTCGTGGCCCTCGCGATTCTCCCCGCGCCACTCCCCGGGTCCCCCGCGGCTCCCTCGGGCCCCGCGTCCCCGTGGCCTCATCCTCGCCGCACCTCCTGGCGGGGAGGGCCCAACGTGGCCGCGCGGCGCCACCGAGACCAGAGGCCCCCACGCGGCCACGGGCAGCACGGGCCAAGCGGCGGGGAGGACATGCAGGCCCTAAACCGCGCCGGGGGGCCCGGTGGCGCCGTGGGGACTGGGGGGGCCGGGGGTGTAAGGATGGACCCTTGGAATCATCATCATCATCAGCAGCAACATCAGCAGCAGCAGCAGCATCATCAGCAAAGACCTCCGAAGCTGCCCGGTGGAATGGCCCAACATTCTCGACAAGCGGCATCTGCCGCGAAGGTGGCATCGGCTGGCGCGGCTGCACCGGTCATGAAGAGCCCCCCGGCAGGCAAAGCCGCGGATCGCGAGCCGAGGGAGCCGGCGGCGGAGTGGCTGAGCGCGCAGCTGGGCAGCCTGGCGCGCTCCCTGCACGCGTGCGGCGGCGGCGGTGGCGGCGGCGGTGGTGGCAGCGGCAGCGGCGGCGCGGCGGAGCGCGGGGCGGAAGCGATGCGGCTGCGATTCCTCGGCAGCGGCAGAGAAGCCACTTGTAACGACGGCAGCCCCGCCGGGTGCGTGCGCGGCAATCCCCCCCGCCCCCTCCACCACCCCCCCACCATCCCCCCCGCCCCCCACTATCCCCCCGCCCCCCCCCCACTATCCCCCCGCCCCCCCCCCCACTATGCTGGCCCCTGACCAGCATGCCCGTTGATGGGCCCCAATAGTTCCTGATGGTCTCCGACATACCCCGGCCGGTCGCTGACAGTCCCCAACATTCCCTGGTGGTGGTGGTGGGGGGGGGGGTGTGTTCTGAATACGATCCCCTAATTCCTTAACCCTAAAATCCAGAACAAAGTCCCTGGAGACCCCCGCAACGACAGCTTGTTTAACCGCTGATCCCTGCCCCCCCCCATCCTGCAAACAGGTATTATATCCGCAAGTCGGAGGGCAGCAAGCGGTGGCTGATATTCCTTGAAGGTGAGGAGGCCGCCGGTCCCATCGCACGCTCGACCTTGACCCCGTGACCTCAACCCTGATCTTTCCTCCTGTAGTGGGTCTCTGGGTCACCGTGGGTTGTACGTTTGCCTCGATGTCAGTAAATGGGGGGGGGGGGGGGCGGGGGGTCTCTGTGCGAGACTCTGCGTCTATTTGTTTGCAGGCCCGGCACTGCATGCGCACGTGTTGTGCTGCAAAGGGCCAGCTGCCACTGGGGGTGGGAGGTGGGGGGGGGGGGGGGGTTACCCGCGGGATGAGATGTAAGGCGCTTTGAGTTGCTGAGGAATTTAAGTCTCTTCCCCCTAATGGGTTTATCCGCCCGCGTGGCTCGGCGGAGGAGCGGCAATCGGAAAGGTCGCGAGGTCAAAAACCCTATTCTTAGGTTTTTTTCGGTAAAGTCACGTAGGTAAAATATAAATAATACAAGATAAATTTAAAAAATAAGAATAAATAAATAATAGAAATAAAATCATCAATCACGACGTTACTTGATACAGCAGTCGTGCTGTGACGGTTCCACCTGAAGACGGAAGCTTGTGTTGCCTCCGAAACGTCGTGATTTAAATTTTATTTTAATTTTACTTTTTTAATTTTAATTTTTTACCTACGTGACTTTACCGGAAAAAACCTAAGAATATGAATCCTTGCAGTCACGAAAGCTTCAAATCTAGAGTCAAAATCCCTGTTTGGGAGGGAGGGGGTTGACTCGGCCCATCATCGTCACTCCGAGTTCGGTAAAACGAGTACCATTCTGCGTCAGTCCAAGGATCATCACGTGAACTCCGGTAATTCTCGCAGCAGCAGCGGCGGCTTTTTGGCGAGTGGTCGAACAAAGGCGGTCACCGCATTGCGGCGCGTTTTAACAGATGGCCGTCTGGAACGCTCTTCCTTCCGCTATTAGAAAGCCACTGGAGCTATGCACTTTTAAATCATCATCTAGATTGACAAACTAATTTCTTGAGAACTGTTTTTTTTGTGTTTAGTTTGTTGTCCTTCCCCCGCACCTCCAGTTAGCGCGGTTGGCTACGTACGGTGCGAAAGAAGTTCAACACACATACATAAGTATGTAACGACTCGCACCCGCCATAGGAATGTGGAATTTCCGCTGCTGGCTCAGGGCTGTAAACAGGAGACAAGCACCGATGCCTCGCTGCTCGTTTGGTGATGACGCTGCCCCCTCTCCCCCCCCCCTCTTCCCCCTTCTCCACCCCTCTCCCCCCCCTCTCCCCCCCTCTCCCCCCCCCTTCTCCCCCCTTTCTCCCCCCTCTCCCCCCATTCTCCTTCCCTCTCCCCCCCTTCTTCCCCCCTCTCCCCCCCCCTCTCCCCCCATTCTCCCCTCCCCTTCTCCCCCCCTCTCCCCCCCCTCTCCCCCCCCCCTCTCTTCCCCCCTTCTCCCCCCCTCTCCCCCCCCTCTCCCCCCATTCTCCCCTCCCCTTCTCCCCCCCTCTCCCCCCCCTCTCCCCCCCCCCTCTCCTCCCCCCTTCTCCCCCCCTCTCCCCCCCCCTCTCCCCCCCCTCTCCCCCCCCTCTCCCCCCCTTCTCCCCCCCTCTCCCCCCCCCTCTCCCCCCATTCTCCCCTCCCCTTCTCCCCCCCTCTCCCCCCCCTCTCCCCCCCCCTCTCCTCCCCCCTTCTCCCCCCCCTCTCTCCCCCGCCCCCACAGGAGGCTGGTATTGCCACAGCAGGGAAAGCTGCGATGCGCGATTCGCGTCCCTCCATCATCTCATGAGCTCGGCCGACTGGCCCCACACGCGCACAGGTGAGTAAGGAGGAGGAGGAGGAGTGGGTGCCACGTGACCACCCTCTTCGCCCTCATCTCCCCCCCACGCCACCAACCCCCACGTGGAGTGTGACGGTTCACCAGCAGTGATTGTTGCGGCGACGCCTGCCGCTGCTGTCGAGACGCCGTGAGTCGAGACGCCGTGAGCCGAGACGTCTTCCGCAGCGTTGCGCGTGTCGAAGCAACAATGATGCGCGCTGCTGCGACGGTGGACAACTCCCACGAGGTCGTGTGGCTGATGGGATGTGCTACAAAAAATGTTTTATGTCGAGGGACAGATGTGGAAAAGAACTCCACAAACTAAACTTTAAAAAACGAAACTTTTTATTTTAACTAACCTTTTTTAAATCTAAAGCTTTCGTGACTGCAGGGATTCATATTCTTCTTGGTTCTTTCGGTAAAGTCACGTAGAAGGGAAATATAATATAATAAAATCATGTTTTATTTGTATTATTTATTATTTCCCTTCTACGTGACTTTACCGAAAGAACCAAGAAGATACACTTTTTTAGTCTAACTAAAAACTAAACTTAAAACAATTGTTATTTTACCAGATAAGGCCCCACGGAGCGAAATCGCTCTTTTCCCGAAGCGATGATAGCTCAACGAAGTGGTTTATCATCATCGTGTGGAAGTGTACAGCAGCTACGCACTCGAAACCTCCCCCACCACCACAGCCGCTACAGCACGTGCACAGACCCTGCTCCTCTGTTGCTATTGGCGTTGATTTTGTTGTTGACGCTCTTGTTGTTGTTGATGCAATCGTCGCTATTGTTGTTATTGTTGTTGACGCTATTGTTGGTAACACTATCGTCGCTGTTGTTGTTATTGTTGGTGACGCTATTGTTGTTGAGGTGAGGCGGTGCAGGGCTGGGTTGCATAGTTCAACCCCTCCTTAATCCGAATCAAAACAACTTTGAAGAGACTTTCAGGGGCACGCTGACATCGCTGTGATGTGACGTCTGTTTTGTCTCTCTCCCCCCGTGGTTCCCCTCCCCCCGTGGTTCCCCTTTCCCCCGTGGTTCCCCTCTCCCCCCGTGGTTCCCCTCCCCCCCGTGGTTCCCCTCCCCCCGTGGTTCCCCTCTCCCCCCGTGGTTCCCCTCTCCCCCGTGGTTCCCCTCTCCCCCCGTGGTTCCCCTCTCCCCCCGTGGTTCCCCTCTCCCCCGTGGTTCCCCTCTCCCCCCGTGGTTCCCCTCCCCCCCCCGTGGTTCCCCTCTCCCCCCGTGGTTCCCCTCTCCCCCCGTGGTTCCCCTCCCCCCCGTGGTTCCCCTCCCCCCGTGGTTCCCCTCTCCCCCCGTGGTTCCCCTCTCCCCCGTGGTTCCCCTCCCCCCCCCGTGGTTCCCCTCTCCCCCCGTGGTTCCCCTCTCCCCCCGTGGTTCCCCTCCCCCCCGTGGTTCCCCTCCCCCCGTGGTTCCCCTCTCCCCCCGTGGTTCCCCTCTCCCCCCGTGGTTCCCCTCCCCCCCCGTGGTTCCCCTCTCCCCCCGTGGTTCCCCTCCCCCCGTGGTTCCCCTCCTCTCCCCCGTGGTTCCCCTCTCCCCCCGTGGTTCCCCTCTCCCCCCGTGGTTCCCCTCTCCCCCCATGGTTCCCCTCCCCCCCCGTGGTTCCCCTCTCCCCCCGTGGTTCCCCTCCTCTCCCCCCCCCCGTGGTTCCCCTCTCCCCCCGTGGTTCCCCTCTCCCCCCGTGGTTCCCCTCTCCCCCCGTGGTTCCCCTCCCCCCGTGGTTCCCCTCCTCTCCCCCGTGGTTCCCCTCTCCCCCCGTGGTTCCCCTCTCCCCCCGTGGTTCCCCTCTCCCCCCGTGGTTCCCCTCCCCCCCGTGGTTCCCCTCCCCCCGTGGTTCCCCTCTCCCCCCGTGGTTCCCCTCTCCCCCGTGGTTCCCCTCTCCCCCCATGGTTCCCCTCCCCCCCCGTGGTTCCCCTCTCCCCCCGTGGTTCCCCTCCTCTCCTCCCCCCCCCCCCGTGGTTCCCCTCTCCCCCCGTGGTTCCCCTCTCCCCCCGTGGTTCCCCTCTGCCCCCGTGGTTCCCCTCTCCCCCCGTGGTTCCCCTCTCCCCCCGTGGTTCCCCTCTCCCCCCGTGGTTCCCCTCCCCCCGTGGTTCCCCTCCTCTCCCCCGTGGTTCCCCTCTCCCCCCGTGGTTCCCCTCTCCCCCCGTGGTTCCCCTCCTCTCCCCCCCCCCGTGGTTCCCCTCTCCCCCCGTGGTTCCCCTCTCCCCCCGTGGTTCCCCTCTCCCCCCGTGGTTCCCCTCCTCTCCCCCGTGGTTCCGGCTGCAGGGAACGGCATCCTGTCTCCGCGCCCCGAGGAGAACCCGCACTGGTGGAACGCAAACACCGTGTAAGTGGCGAGGGGGTTTGGGCGGCTGAGTCTCAAGACTCGCTTTCAGGAGGGCCCTACCAAATTTTTTTTTTTTACAGAAGAGGGGCGATGCTGCTGCTGCTGCTGCTGTGTGTGGTCCCAAATGATAAATTAGCACCGGTCCTGGGCCTTCCCTAGGTCGGCTCAGCCTCAAGTGAGCACCTGGCGTGGTGTGTAAATGCCAGCAATGGGGAGACAAAGTCGGCCGGGCGAGGCGCTGTCCAACCACCCCCTCGTGTGCCGTGCCGGAACCTTCGTTGGTGCCCGCTCTCGGTACTTGCTCCATCGGTCTGTTAAAAGTCGACACGGGAGGGGGGGGGGGTATATAAATGTGTCGTCAAACCTGCCACCACTCAGCCGATTAGTAAGGGTTGTCACGTGAACAGAACATGCTAATTCGTCACTAGTACAGCAAACCGGTGTGTTGGAGAGCCAAGCCACAACATTTACAATCTGAGTACGACGTTTTGCCAGTAATTACAATCAGCATCATCAGGCGATGGCCAGATTCTCTCCAACGCACCGGTGTGCTGTACTAGTAACGAATTGGCATGCTCTGTTTATGCAACAAACCTTACTAATCGGCCGTGTCGGGTGGTGGCGGCTTTAACGACACATTTATATATTTACGCGATCTAACCCAAAACACTCCTGTATTATCGATAATATTGGTCGCGAAAGCCTGGTACATGTTCAACGGAATTTTTGTAATTTGCCAAATTTGGATGATGCTGGCAAGCAACGCTATATTCTTCTCGGTGACGCGAGGGGATTCTTGACATCCACTCTGAAGCACGAGGCGCATATTTTACGGTGAATACACCCACGGCATTAATCAGGACAGCCCACCAGATTGTAAGTGGACCTCGACAACAAGCGGTGAACGCACTGCCTCTGGACCACATCACTGCCCAGCCAGAAAGTCTCCGTGTCAAACGGGCGGGGGGGGGTGTATCTTTATCTTTGTGTGTGTGCAGCAGCAGCGTAGCGGTTAGCGCTACGCTGCGCTACGAGCCTGGCGAGCCGGGTTCGATTCCCGCTGGGCCTCCGCTAGGTCGACTCAGCTTCAAATGAGTCCCTGGTGCGATGTGAGCATCGCCACTGGGGAGACAAAGACGGCCGGGCGTGGTGTTGGCCACCCACCCCCTCGTGTGCCGTGCCGGCCTTCATAGGTTTGCTCGCTAAGAGCACTTGCCCCAACGGTGTGTTAAGGCTACACGGGGTATCTTTGTCTTTGTCTGCTGCAGCTTCGTGCCGTACTGCTCGAGCGACGTGTGGAGCGGGAACGCGCCGCGCTCCAGTCGAGGTGAGTTCCCCGCCGCAGCGACGGCCTTCACCGAGTCTCGAGGCCTCCGTGATCTGGAGGGGTTCGTGCCGCTCTCGACCCCCCGCCCGTGACCCCCCCCCCCCCCCCGACGCTCGCGTGGGTCACCCGGCTGGAACTCAAAATCGCCTTCGGCTCCGTGCGCGCCGGGTGGATTGAGTAGCCGATTTGAGTGGGTCACTCGGAGGCCAATCGATTCGTGGATATGGATTGCGTGACTTGTTGGTTGAGTGATTGGTTAATGAATTCAATGAGTGGATCGGTTTATTCATTCATCGGTTGCTCGGTGGGTCGAGCCTTTTTGTTGAATGGTTGATCGGTCGCTTGTGTTCGTTGGATGATTCGGGCGACTGGGTGCTTTATTGATCCTCTGATTTTGAGCAGTGGGTTCATTGGTTCAAGTGGCCGATCATTTGTCCAAACAGCTGATGTGATTATTGGAATGGGCTGGTTGAGCGACTGCTGCATTGGTTAATGAAATAAAATTCATTTTCAAAAATTCCCTTTTGGGCGTGTGTCCATCTCCCGTGCCCCCCCCCCCGTGCCGACCCTCCCCCCTCGCCCCCAGGTGGGTACGCGTTCCTAGGGGCGCGGATCCTGCGGGAGGTGGTGGTGGAGCTGGTGAGGCACGGGATGGGTCACGCGCGCACCATCATGCTGGCGGGCAGCAGGTGAGTGAGTGGTGGTTGCTGGTGGTGGGGAGCTGCCGTGCTCCAAACCCAGCGAGCCGAGTTCCGATTCCCGCTCGCGGCCAACGCCGGTGACGATTGTCTTAATTTGTCCTGGACCCATCCCCTAGGTCGACTCGGCCTCAAACATCGTCACTCGGGGGGGCAAAGGCGGCTGGGCTTGGTGTTGGTCCAGCCACCCCCTCATGTGCCGTGCGGCCCTCAACGGACACTTGCCCGAACAGTCTGTTAAGGCTATACGGGGGATATTTGTCTTTGGTAGCGCGTGGTGTTGGTGGTGGTGGCACGGGTTGGACATTATAACGATAAAACAAATTCAATACGTCAACAGCGGTGTGATGATGATGATGACGACGACAAACATCTTCAACCGTGACATTCCCATTGCTGGATGGCGCCACAGCCCCACCGAGCAGCCCACCGCTCCGTCTCCGCGGCTGCCACTCCGTGCTTAGTCTCCCCTGCCCCCCGCCGCCACACTACGTACATTCACGGCCCCTCCGCCCGCTCGCTCGTCTCAATGCGCTCCACGGCGTTGCTTTGTCTCGAGTCCGTTCTGCTGCGACGACGCTCTCCATCGACGCCGCGCTGCTGATGGGACGTGTCAGAACGACTTTGCACCAGTGCCGGATTATCCTAGGAGTAAAAGTAGATGTATATGCAGTAGCTGCATATGTAGTAGCTACTACATATGTAGTAGCTACAACATAGTAGCTGCATGTAGTAGCTACTACATAGTAGCTGCATATGTAGTAGCTACTACATATGTAGTAGCTACGGGCCCCGCACTTTCAAGGGCCCCGTGCTAAATGCTTTCAAGCTATCAATTCCGGTTCAGTGATTCTGCACTTGCTATAATACTATAGTACTATACCGCCTTCCACTTTTACGAACGACATGGTATTTAAGGCTAGCGATTCTTCGTATTATTTCACTGTATAGCAGATGAAAAAATAAAATTACTTTACAATGCGAGTTAAAATTTTGTGTTTCAATATTTACGTTTTTTTTGGGGGGCTTAGGGCCCCTTCATAACATATGCTACAGACCCCGCGCTAGCTTCATCCGGCACGGCTTTGCACGTGCGTTTTTTCCCTTCTCTCGCGTGGGGACACGGAGACGCGAGCGAGCCGCTGCGTCTGCTCGCGCGCATGCCTGGCGACACCTCCAATCCGCGTGCTCCTCTACCCCGTCTCTTGCTGCCGTCTCCAGCGAGCTCCGCTCCATCCTTGGGGGCTAGGGGGGGGGGTGCTTTCGTTGCATCTTCTCCCGTCAACGCGGCCCTCAAGTTTGTTGTGACTCTGTCAGCGGCGCTTTGAAATCCATCTGGAAAGCCCGACCCGGTTTACCCATTGGCTGGACGTCAGCTGTGCCACGATTGTGATTTAGTACGCGTGGCTTTGATCACGGTTGGGACTTTCATGCTGCCTCCATCCATCGCGAGTGTAGTTCTCATCATTGCTGCTGCTGTTGTTGTTGTCGGGTTTTTATTGCGTGGATTGTCTCTCCTAAGCGTCTCGTTATTCACGTGCAGCGCATTAAAACGTTGTGTTATGAGGCGTAGTATATGATAGCAATGGTGATGATGATGATGGTAATGATGAAGGTGATGATGAAGGTGGTGATGATGATAATGATGAGTGTATTATGGTGGTGATGATGATGATGAGTGTATTATGGTTGATGATGATGATGGTAATGAAGAAGGTGATGGCGATGATGGTAATGATGAAGGTGATGATGATGACGATGAGTGTATTATGGTGGTGGTGATGATGATGAGTGTATTATGGTGGTGGTGATGATGATGAGTGTATTATGGTGGTGGTGATGATGATGAGTGTATTATGGTGATGATGATGATGAGTGTATTATGGTGGTGGTGATGATGATGAGTGTATTATGGTGGTGGTGATGATGATGAGTGTATTATGGTGGTGGTGATGATGATGAGTGTATTATGGTGGTGGTGATGATGATGAGTGTATTATGGTGGTGGTGATGATGATGAGTGTATCATTATGGTGATGATGATGATGATGAATGTATTATGGTGGTTATGATGATGAGTGTATTATAGTGATGATGATGATGATGAGTGTATTATGGTGATGATGATGATGATGAGTATATTATGGTGGATGATGATGGCAGTGTCCTGCACGCAGGGCGCCCTTCTTAGCGCCGTCCGCGGCCGTTTCCGATGCTCCGTCGAGTTTTCAAGATCCGCCCCAGCGCTGTCTCGTCCGCAACATTAACTCCAGACCACCTTCATCCGATGTTGTTACTGTTGTTGATGTGGTTGTTCGCCGTTCTTCATTGTTGTGACACCTGTGACGCTTGTGAAGAAGAGCCCATCGGATTCTATCCAGTGTAACTAAATATTCTGATTCTGTTTAAAAAAGAAAAATCTGAGTTGTTGTCGTTGTTGTTGTTGTCTTCCACGTGTGGCTCAGCGCGGGGGGCACGGGAGTGCTGCTGCACCTGGACAGCATGGCCGCCCAGCTCCGTGCCCTAGGGGTCCCTGCCCAGCTGAGGGGGCTCGCCGACTCGGGATGGTTCGTGGAGCGCAGGGGGAGCGGAGCGGCCCCCGGCTGCGGAGGGGGGGTCCGGCCCGGGGCGGACTGCGGCCCGGGGGCCCCCGTTCACTCCATGCATCACGCCGTCCGGTGAGGGCGAGGTCACGGGGTCACGGGCATGTAACGTCACAGCAGCGCTCACGTGGTGACCTCACCTGCTCACTCCATGCATCACGCCGTCCGGTGAGGGCGAGGTCACGGGGTCACGGGCATGTGACGTCACAGCCGCGCTCACGTGGTGACCTCACCTGACGTTAATTCTAGATTTGAAGCTTTCGTGACTGCAAGGATTCATATTCTTAGGTTTTTTCGGTAAAGTCACGTCGGTAAAAAATTAAAATTAATAAAAGTCAAATAAAATAAAAATCACGACGTTTCGGAGGCAACACAAGCTTCCGTCTTCAGGTGGAACCGTCACAGCCACGACAGCTTTTGTTATGCAGTCTATTCTTAGTCTTAAGCCTCACCTTACCATATTAATAAAAAAAGTGTGCCGTACTTGGCCCTTCCCCTCTTCAACCATTATATATACGGAGTGGTAGCTCTTGTAATCTCTCATTTACTTGATACAGCTGTCGTGGCTGTGACGGTTCCACCTGAAGACGGAAGCTTGTGTTGCCTCCGAAACGTCGTGATTTTTATTTAATTTTACTTTTATTAATTTAAAATTTTTACCTACGTGACTTTACCGAAAAAAACCAAGAATACTCACCTGACGTGCCCGTGCTCTCTGCCCGCCGTGCCCAGGTTCTGGAACGGATCGGTTCCGGAGCGGTGCCGCCTGCATCTCCCCCCGGGGGAGGAGTGGAAATGTTATTTTGGCTTCATCACCTTCCAGACGCTCGCCAGTGAGTGTGCTCACCTACACCCACTCCTACGCGCACCTGTACGCGCATCTATAAAAACGCCCGTACACACCTGTACGCACCTGTATGCACACCTGTATACACAACTGTACCAATACCCGCCATTCGCCACGAACTGATGGTGACATCACCATGGCGCCTGTGCCAGGCCAGGTGCACTTTGAGGCCACGTGAAGCGTCGAAGGCTCGCTGACTGACATGAGGTCACGGGACAGACCCAGCAGGTGCCATGGGTTGGCTGGCCGAGATGACTCGCAGATGCACCACCAGCTGTACCCCCCACTGTGCCAACTGTACAAAGACAAAGATCCCCCATATAGCCTTAACAGACTGTAGGGGCAAGTGCTGTTAGCGAGCACCAACTGTACGCACACCTCTACACGCACACCACTCGCCTACCAACCCCACACACCCACCCACCCAAACACCCAACCACTCAGCAACCCACTCACCTACCCAGTCACCCTCCACCCACTCCCCCTGCCCCCTCCCCTCCAGCCCCGGTGTTTGTGGCGCAATGGCTCTTCGACGAGGCCCAGCTGACCGCTGACAACGTGCAGCTGCTGGGCCCGACTCGGGGCGGCGACCAGCTGCCCTACCTGCGCGAGCTGGGACAGGAGCTGCGCGCCACCCTCCACCCGCTGCCGTGAGTGGCCGCACAAACAGCGCCGGCCACCGCCGGATGGTCCACCGAGAAATGAGTCCACCGCTGAATAGTCGACCAGCGAATAGGTCACCACAGATTATTCCACCACTGAATAGTTCACTGGCAAATAGTCGACCACCGAATAGTCAACCACAGATTATTCCACCGCTGAGTAGTACACCACTGAATATTCCACCATTGAATATTCCACCACCGAATAGTCCACCAACAAATTATTCACCACCGAATAGTCCACCACTGAGTAGTCTACCACCGAAAAGTCCACCACTGAGTAGTCCACCCCTGAATATTCCACCACTGCGTAGTCCACCACCGAATAGAGGTCGTTCACCGACAGGTCGGGGAGCGTGGCCTCGCAGGGCGTGGTTATAGGGGTAGAGGGAGGGCCAGTGCTGGCTGATTTGGATGGACGCTCTGCTCTGAGGAAGGACCGTTTCCCGAAACGTTATAGAGGGGGGAGGGGGGGCACTGCTTCTGTCATCCGCGAAGGCGCAACGGAGTTGTTGAGGCGAGGGCTGCGAGTGGCACCGCTGCCCCCTGGCGGCCGGGCCGGGGAGCGAGGCCCCGGGCGGCAAGGATACACGCGAGGCACTGCAGAGACAGGCAGCGGCTCGCGCGTGAACATGCCTATGTCATGCGTCGTGTGCGGTGCCGGATTATCCTCGTAGCAAAAGTAGCTACATATGTAGTAGCTACGGGCCACGCACTTTCAAGGTCCACCCGCGCAAAATGCTTTCAAGCTATCAATTTCGTATTCTTTGGGTCTTTCGGTGAAGTCACGTGGATAGATTTCGATTTCAAGCTTTCGTGACTGCAGGGATTCATCTTCTTGGTTCTTTCGGTAAAGTCACGTAGAAGGGAAAAAAATGTATTATGTTTAATATTTATTATTTTATTATTTCCCTTCTACGTGACTTTACCGAAAGAACCAAGAAAATCACGTGGATAGGTTCAAAGAAAATAACAAAAAACGACAACGTTTCGATCTCAACACAAGCGTTCGTCATCAGGAAAAGGTGACCGATTGAAACGTTGTAGAGGGAACCGGAGTGCCCAGAGAGAAGTCAGCGCCAGCGTGCTGTGTGCGAGGGAGAGACCCAGAACCCACTCCGCTGTGCTTCCATCCCACCCAGTGCCGGATGAAGCGAGTGCGGGCCCTGCAGCACATGTTATAAAGATGCCCTATATTACAAAAAACACGTAAATATTGAAACACAATTGTTTTACTTGCATAGTAAAGTAATTGTGTTTTTTAATTTGCTATACAGCCACAGAAAATACGACAAATCGCTAACCTGAAACACCCAGTCGTTCATAAAAGTTGAAGGCGGTATAGTACTGTAGTAATAGAGCAAGTGCAGAATCACTGAACCGGAATCGATAGCTTGAAAGCATTTAGCGCGGGGCCCTTGAAAGTGCGGGGCCCGTAGCATTTGTAACGTGCGTTCATTTGTTTAGCTGCCCGTTGATATTTGTCGTGTATCTCTGTGTGGCCGTGTATTTGTTTAAACAGGGCAGTCTTCTCTCCCGCGTGCCTCGCTCACACGCTTATCACGAGCAGGTAAGACTCGTCTGCGATGCAGCAACATCATCATCATCACAATCCTCATCACCTTCGTCACAATCATCATCATCATCGCAATCATCATCACCATCATCACAATCATCATCATCACTATCATCATCATCACTAACACCATCATCTTCATTGGGTTCCTTTTTAGAAAAAGGTCAGAGGTCAGCGTGCTCAGCCGGCACCGCTGGGACCCTGGGTTCGTATACGGGTTTCAGCCGCTGCCCGTGATTAGAACCGGGTTCTCAAAGTGCATTGAGTTGGGTTGACGGTGTCGACCCGTGTATCAATGACTGCGCAAAACAAACCATCGCAATGCATTTAGTTTTTGGTTTAATTTTGGCTCAAAGTCAACACTAATAATTACAAATAACGGTTTGACTGTCAACGTAGTCGCTTTTATTCTCGGTGGCAGTGTGGGTGGCAAGTGCCACTCCCTCCTGCGTGGACCAGAGGTCACTCGTGGGGGCCTCGGAGCTAGCTCTGCGACATCCACTTCCGATCTCTAACGCGGAAAAGGGTCGCGTCGCTGTTGTGCGACATTTCCCAACGGGTTCTTCGTCTCGTGACGACGCGACGCCGATTGCACAATCACAGATAAAATTGTGGATGACAAATTCAAATCCTCACTGTTGGCGTGGTACAGCAGCTGCTGCTGCTGCTGTCAATGCTGCGCTGTAGATATTGCTCGCGGCTCGCAGCTGATGCTCATCGCCCGTCCCCGTCGCCTGGGCCACTCTCGCACTCTCTCTGTCTCTCTCTCTCTGTCTCTCTCTCCCTGTCTCTCTCCCTGTCTCTCTCTCTGTCTCTCTCTCTGTCTCTCTCTCTGTCTCTCTCTCTCTGTCTCTCTCTCTCTCTGTCTCTCTCTCCCTGTCTCTCTGTCTCTCTCTCTCTCAACGAACGTCCATTCGCCACCTCCTCTCACGTCACTCCACCGCATCTCCACCTCCATCTCCTCCTCCAGCTCGGTGCAGTTGGCTGATAGCTTTCTGCTGCACCCCCCCCTCTCCCCACCCCTCTCACACTTCCCCCTCCCTCTACCCCCCCTGTCCACCCCCTCCCCCGCTCCCTAGTGGCTGGGCTGACGTCCAGGTGAAGGGGCTGACGCTGCCTCGCGCCCTGCAGTGCTGGGAGCAGAACCTCCAGCACGCAGCGTCCCGAAACGGCACCCAGCAGCAGCAGCAGCCTGCTGCGGAACGGTCACCGCCCGCCGTTGGCAGCGGCGTCGCTGGCGAGGGGGGCAGCAGCAGCAGCGGTGGCAGCAGCAGCACCAGCGCCTCGTCCTCCACCCCGGCGGAGCGGTGGGCGGCGGCGGCCCCGGCGGCCCCGGCGCCTTGCGCCTTCCGCGCTGTCGACAGCTGCCCGTGGCCGCACTGCAACCCGAGTTGCCCGGCACTGCGCGACGCGCTCACGGGCCAGGAGGTGAGCGCCATCGCCTTCCTCACCCAGCTGGGCTTCGACGTGCGCAGCATGGCCTCGCAGCTCGGCATGGACCCCGACACGCTGCTCAACGTGCTCAGCGACGGCACATAGGGGCGGGGGTGGGGGTGGGGTGGGGGGGAGTTGCGGGGAGGGGGGGCCGAGGGGCCGGGGGGAGGGGGCTGCGGCCGTCGACCAGCACGGAGACGCGGAGGGAGCCTTGCGGAGGACTCGGTGGGTTTGGAACGCGGCGTTGGGAGGACGCGAGCCGCTGGGTGGAGCGAAACGTCGGACATCGTGTTGAGCAGCACAGAGCGGTACAACCAGAAAACCACATCGGCGTGCGAATCACCCCCCTGCCCCCCCCCCCCCTTTATCCTGCTATCTGAAAAATCGTTCCAGACGTCTGTGTGTTCATCACTCACGAAAAATCACGGATAACGGGACGAATCGTGCGCCTCCAGATAATCCGACCCCCGGGTGGCATCGTAAGAGGGACACGCACGTTGGGCACGTTGAACTTATTTCGCGCCGCACGTCGTAGCCAACCGTGCTAATCGGAGGTGCGGGAAAAAGGGTGACTATAGCTGCTGGTTGACTCTCACGCTGCTGCTGGGTGCACTGCCCCACCCCCCCCTCCCCCGCGAGACCCACCAAATTGATATTGATATTTACCAGAGGTAAGTATATTGAATGTTGTTTTATTAATGTAGCGCCCAGTGGAGGCAGCTTGGAGTTCTAGGACCGCCCTCCTTGGGATCCATCGGAGTGCCGGGGAAGAAGCGGAAAGAGAAGCGTGGGTGAGTGAGTGGGTGAGTGAGTGGGTGGGTGAGTGGGTGGGTTGGTGAGTGCGTTGGTGAGTGGGTTGTTGGTGACCTGCAGTGTGGTGGTGGTGGTGGCGGTTGAGACGACACGGTCCGTGTCTACTAGAGACCGAGTCCTCGACACGGGCGGAGGAATCAAGGAGCGTAGTTCGAAGGAACGGTAACCTTGGTAATAGCTAGCAGTCGCCATGGTTATAGCAGTAACCATGGTGGTAACCATGGCGATTCGATTAAGTAACAGAATCAATAAACTGACAATTCGCCACCTTACCGTGTCCGTCCCCTCCGCGTAAAAAAATATTTGACACATCCCGTGAGCCACACGGCCTTCTGTGAGTGCATCTCATCAGCAGCATTGGTTCAACGCGAGCAGAAAGCACCGGTTTCGACATTCGGTGTCTCACCAGCAGAGCCGGGCTTGCTTGAACCAGTGCTGGTGAATTGCCACGTGTTTATTGACAACGACTCTCTCTCTCTTCTTGGTTCGATGCAAAGCCATCCAACGCACGATGGTTATTTGTCTTTTTAAATCCTTTATATTAAGTTCGCTTGCTTGCTTAGGACCGTGCAAATCTTTCGGTCGTTTTTTAATCCACTTCCCGTGATCCAATCGAGCTGACATTTTCCACACAGACTCGTTGTGCGTGACAATTAATGTTCGTGAACATTTTTTAAAATTTTTTTTACACTTTTTAGGACAAAAATATAATATTTAATTACCAATTGCTTAATGGTGCAATGCAATCATCTGACCCATAGGTGGCAGCCATCTCAAGCCAGAGGACGAGAGGACTCTAGCCGCCACGCATATAAAGGATTAATAGTGAAAAACTTTGTTTTTACGGGTTATACTTTTTTTCTGCTCGGTGACATGCTGGGCGAGAAGCGTGGACAACAAATGGGGGTCTACAGACGCAGAGGTTCATCACTGCTGATGACTTGAGGTTCGCCATGCATCGATATAATCAATTTTTACGTAAACGATATGCGAACGAGTGCTGATGTTGCATTTAGGTGGATGGAGCAGACGAGGTGGTACAAACGGGAAACCAACGCAAACGCGGTGGTGCAAAAAAATCGATTCTTGAATGGAATCGTGGCACCCCCCGGATGGCTTTTCCCTCCCGAACGTTGTGGATTTTGCTCCGACTTCCCGCAGCATCGGCCCCGATTGCTGCGTCGGCGCGGCCGCAAGCCGAACGGCCGCATCTCGAACACGAAGGGCGACTCGGCCGCGAGGAGGTTTGGTTCTTGAACGTCGCTGGTCGGCGCGCCGCGAGACGCCTGTGTACGCCGCGCGACAATTGAATTCGTTTGGCCGTGTCGGGCGGTGCGGGGACTTGACGACACAAATTCGGGGCCGGATAGTTTACGTGGCCCGACCCAAAACCCCCCAACCCTGGACTCCACCGTTGGCTGTGAAGGCCCCTCTGCGGCGTTGGGCTCTACGCGGAGCCTCCGCCACGACCGTGATGACGATCGCTCTTGTCGACCGCGTCTGAACGAGACTTTGATCGCTGTACATTTCACGTGGTGTTGTATAATAAATTCATAATGTACATCCGTTCTCAATCCACTGCTGATTATTGCAATTCTCCCAAACTGTAACTTCACCACGCCAGTCAGCGGGCGGTTGGTGAATGGGGTCGGGTCCAAGGACTCGCTTCGGATGTCACTCGCCATCGACGTCGGCTGCAGCCGGGAGTTGAACCCGGCTCGCTCGCCTGGGTTCAAGGTGCGGAGCGCTCACCACTGCGCCAGCTCTCCAACCACACCGTGGCGTTGTTGAGAGGCTTAAATCAAATGGTGCAGCACGTGTTTTAAACAGTTTTTGTGTTTTATATTCCGTTGGTAACCATTCAAGACGCGTCTGTGGTTTGCAATACTCTATCATTGCTGCAATAAACCGCGTGCTCACCACACCCACGTGGTCACAGCCCCACGTGCTCACACCACCACCCACGTGCTCGCACCCCCGCGTGCTCACACCCCCGCGTGCCCTCACACCTCCACCCACGTGCTCACCCCCACCCACGTGCTCAGACCCCCACGTGCTCACACACCACCACCCACGTGTTCACACCCCCGCGTGCTCTCACACCTCCACCCACGTGCTCACCCCCACCCACGTGCTCAGACCCCCACGTGCTCACACACCACCACCCACGTGCTCGCACCCCCGCGTGCTCTCACACCTCCACCCACGTGTTCACACCCCCGCGTGCCCTCACACTCCCACCCACGTGCTCACCCCCACCCACGTGCTCAGACCCCCGCGTGCTCACACCCCACCACCCACGTGTTCACACCCTGTGTGCTGGCATCACTACGTGCTCATACCCCCACGTGCTCACACCTCAACCCACGTGCTCACACCCCCATGTGCTCTCACACCCCCACGTACCCTCACACCCCACCCACGTGCTCACACCCCCACGTGCTCTCACACCCCACCCACGTGCTCACACCCCCACGTGCTCTCACACCCCACCCACGTGCTCACGCCGCCACCCACGTGCTCACACCCTGAGTGCTGGCATCACCACGTGCTCAACGCCCTTGCCGCTCGTGAGAGGCAGCGTGATGGACGCAAAGGCCGATGATGATAATGACGATGGTGATCCGGAAGGGTGAGAGAGATCGCATCTGGCACGATGCATTCTTCGCTGTGAATGCACACGGCGGTATTAACCAGAGCGACAGCCGGAATCGAACCGCGAAAGCCCTGCAAGAGCAAGCGGCGAGCGCCGCGCCACCGCTCGGCCCCGTCACCAACCCTACGAGCCCCGGAATCGTCGTTGAACCGAGAAATTCGCCACCGAGACTGAAGCCGATCGACAGCGGGTAGTTTCCCTCTATATCCGTCCACCGATGTTGAGCCGTGAGTGGGACGCTAACTCGGGTCGCGGGTTTAGGAGCGCAGCGCGCGAGGCGCTATGCCACCGCTCCCACCCAACCCAACACACAAAGCGCCTATACACATGTAATAGTGTTCCAGGAGACTTTGACACCGGGGTTGGAGGCACACGTATTTATTCCGTGTCGGTACAGTACAGCACTGACATACAACACTGGAGGGGGTATCGGCCCCCTCACCCGTCTAACTGGGGATACACTTCTAGCTACGCCTAGCCTACCCCTGGGTTCTCCACTAACGGGCTAGGGAAGGCTAGCTAGCCCGACACTGGTAAGTCGGGCTCACGGTACCCGGAGTCCCAGACCAGCTCTTACAAGAGCACCGGCTCTGGCTTTCGGGACCACGCCGCTGGCTCGATCCTGTCCGGCCCTGACAAGGGCGGCGATCCAGGGGAGTCCAGGGCTCTATCTATGACGATCTTCGATCTTCACTGGTTAGCTTCAACATCTCTTCCTGAGCCCTCCGGCTCATCCCCTTTTATACCAAAACCCCCGCTGAGGGGTGGGGCCCCGGGGGATCCCAGCTCCGAGTCAGCCCCCCAGGCTGCCCGATGCGGACGTCGCTGGGAGCACCTGCCCGTGCACCGACATAGCCACGCCCACTGTGTTTCTTTCCCATCTGATCCCATTGTATACAGCCCCTCCGTAACACCCCTCCACACACACAACCAGCGATGTGCAATGATGAGGGGTGGATGGGCCAAGTGTGAAGAGTGGACGATGCCGTTGCCCAGCTGACCGCTAGAGGGCGCTGTGGTTCTGCCCCGTCCCCCAACCAGTGGCTCTTAAACCTGGGGGTGCGAGACGTGGCCAGATTGAAGGTAATAAAATCGAAACACAAATTAAGCACGCGCAGGTAAGTACAACTAATTTGTCCCATAAAGCCGATGTGTTTGTGTTAACATCATACACTAGGGGCCGTCCATAAATGACGTCACGCACCTGCGGGGGGGGGGGGGGTTGAGAAATGTGACATCACATTAAAATGCGCAACTTTAAATAAATATAGACAACACGTTCTACTTAATTAAATATACTTTTTAATTAATGTTTTATCCTACAACAGCAGAGTGCAGCGCCACATTAAATACGCACTACAATGGCAATAGTTTCAAGCGATTTGAAGCATGTTTTATATTTTTTTGGGGGGGGGGGGCAGAGCTTTGTGACGTCATATTTGAGGAGGGGGTCTGACTTTTTGTGACGCCGTGTGACGAGGGAGGGGGGGTCAAAAATCGTCCAAAATCGCGTGACGTCATTTATGGACGGCCCCTTATTTCAACGATTGAAAACCAAAGGGGTGCACGGCTACAGTAAAGATTACGAACCAACGCTTTAGACCAACACCTCCAAACCCACAACCAAGGGGTGTTTACCTGCACGACAGGTGTGCCTGTCTCCCATACAGGTGTGTTGTTACACATGATTGTGAGTCTGTACAGGTGGAGTGTTACCTGTGACTGCGTATCGTATAGCGGTTCGCGCTCTGTGCTACCCCTTCACGACCAGTAACGGTGGCGAATATCTGAACCGATTCTGGGCCTCCACTAGGTCGACTCGGCCTCAAATGAGTACCCGATGGGTGTAGAAAGATGACTGGGCGTGGTGTTGTGGCCACCCACGTCCCCGTGTTCGTGTTCGGCCGTCGTAGGTGCCGCTGCTGCTCGCTAACGGCACTTGCACACCGCCTTGTGCACAGCAGCAGCGCCAGGTGGGTAAGAGAACACACGCAGGTTTAAGTCCAAGTTTGGGTTGATGACAGAATGAATGGCAGCCAGGGCAGCGACAGAAGATCTCGGGCCAAAAGCAGAGAAGGGGGCAAAATGCATGCGAATTACTTGAGCGATGTAACGTTTATAATATGTGCCCAACGTGAATTGACCGCGTCTCGTGTTATTGGGATGCAATGCAGTGAAATCGCAAATCTAAATGGCAAGCGATTTCGATTCCACTCATCTCTGTTTTGAAGTTGCTGGTGCATGGGGCGCGGGAATGGTGGTGAAGTTCGGGGTAGGGGTGGGGGGCAATAAGGCATAGCGTGGCATGGGGGCCCCCCAGAAAGGATATAATTTCAAAGTAGATTGTGCAGGGGGGCCGTTCCCACGCCCATTCAAATGAGCACAGTCTGGCACGCGCCGGCAATTATGAACCTTCGTGCCGCGGCGGCCATGAATGGGCATGTTCGGTGAGAGAGAAGCGCATTCCGGCCAAGTGCAGGATTTTGTGGATTCCAAAACCTCCCAGGAATCCATCCCGATATTCACAACCACACACACACAGCCAGGCCAGCTGCTGTCTGTGGTGGGGCTTGGTGTTGGCGGGGGGGGGGGGGGGTTATAGGGGGGATCGGGTAGGGGCGCGGGGAGGTTGAGTGATGCAGTTGCCACCTGTCCAGGTTTGATCGGACAGTCCGGTTGTTCGGAATTTGTGTTCGGGTCGTAGGAATTGAATTGCGCCGATATGTGGCGGCGTTGCGTTGGACTTTATTTCAGTTTGCTGCACAGTCTCCATAGCCCTGGGCCGACTACGAAAGGTGTCCGGGGTTGGTCCGTGGTGCGGAAGGTGGCAGCCCTAGGCAGTGGTGAGGAGGGGCAGGGTGGTGAGTGGTGGGGGTGAGTATTTGGTGTGACTGGTGAGTGGTTGAGTGGTAGTGCTGAGTGGTGGAGCATGTGGGGTGAGTGTTTACGGTGAGTGTTGTGGGGGTTCGGGATTGGAGGGGTGAATGGTAGGATGACTAGTGGGGGTCTGGGTGGTGGTAGGTGGGGTGACGAGGGGGGGAGGGCGCAGTAGCGCGCTGCACTACGAACCCGGGAACCCGAGTTCGATTCCCGCTCACGGCCAACACCAATAACAATTCTGTGAACGGGTTCTGGGCCTCCTCTAGGTCGACTCAGCCTCAATTGAGTACCTTCTGCGGTGTGTAAATATCGCCACTGGGGAGACAAAGGCGGCTAGGCGTGGTGCTCACCACCCACCCCCTCGTGTGCCGTGCTGGCCTTTCATAGATGCTCGCTAACAGCACTTGCCCCAACAGTCTGTTAAGGCTACACGGGGGTTCTCTGCCTTTGGTGGGGGTGAGGAGGAGTGAGTGGCAGCGTGGTTGGGGTAACGGGGTGAATGGGGAAGACTGAAGAGGGCGAGCAACGGATGCATCAACCTTCATCTTCCCTTCAAACCGTCCAGACGGAGCGGTGGCGCAGTGGTTAGCACACTGCACAATGAAAATAGGCCATCTCAGTTCCATTCCCAGCCACGGCGGTCATCGGCGGTGAGCGATATCTGACCCAGGACCTGGGCTTCCTGCCACATTCAGCAACTCGCACTGAACAGCGTGGTCAAGTATGGTCAAATAATAATATGAGTATCTTGATGTGAAGCTTTCGTGACTGCACGAATCCATACTCGTTGGTTCTTTCGGTAAAGTCACGTAGGTATAAAATAAAATAAAATATTTTATTCCTACGTGACTTTACCGAAATAACCTGGGCTTCCTGTCACTTTACCGAAAGAAAGAGTATGTAATAATGAGTATTATTTTTTAAACATTCCATCAGCCACACGGCCTTCTGGGAGCGTATAGCTTCAGCAGCATTGGTTCATCATGAATACTGTACATTCTGGGCCCGGTTTTCACATTCAGTGTCTCATCAATAGCAGAGCCATGCTGGTGAACGGCCAAATGTTGACAGGCGAGAACCTCTCTCTGTTACGCATGGGTCCTATATGCGTGTAATACACAACACAATAATCATCATTCGCGTCCTGACGGAGACGATAACAAAATCACCTCGCTGGCCAGTCCGGCTTGGTGAAGGTGGGGTGCATAGATGCCGGAGC